AGTGGAACAACTAGTTTCTCATTCAGAAATGTGCACACTAATACTTAGTTTTACTTTCTTGTGGATAATATTAAGCATTTACTCTGCAGTGTTCTGAAAGTTGTGTCAACTGAAGTGATACTATTCAGGGTGGTGGAATGTCCCCAAAACATATGTGTGGGATTGCGTAGATTACTATGTTTCATAGTTAATCTCCTGTCTTTGCGATGCTCATGACGTGTGGGGTGCACCGAAGGCATTGCTGTGGTTGGTAGTTTCGGTTTTCTTATGCATTTTAGTGTATTGGTATGAAGATTATTATCTATTTGTAAATCACTACTTTGTATTTTATGCATGCTCTGTAACTTTTTATTTTAGTTACTGATTTGGAATATATTCACATTCTAATAAACAGTTATAGGGGACTGTTCTTCATGTTGTCAGATTCCATTTTCCCTTTGCTTTGGATGTAGCCATGGAATACTAGATTTTGATGAATGAGAACATACAGGTCCTTTCATTACAGAGTCAACATTGAATTGGAGGCACCATTATGCGAATTCAGCTTTGATTTTAGACAGGTAGTTCAATTATGCTTTTCTTGGAAAAAAGTATAACCAAAAATATGAGGGAAGTAATTACTGTCTGTATTTTTCATACATACGTAACCATGACACTAGACCCGGGGGGAGGCTCCATCACCACTTATTTTACTGAAAATTGGTAGTAATTTTTTTACAAAATTATTTAAGAGGAGAAACTTGATAGTGAATTGAAAATGATAAAGTGCCAGTAACTAAATTTTTATCAAGTATAGACTTAATGTTGCCTTGGGCATGGCTCGATCTTGGGAGCAGTCCAAGAAACTGGAAGTAGTAGAAAAGAGCTTTGATTGCATTTCAACGGGTGCCTTCATTCTGAATAATACCTCAGGAGACAAATCTTAAAATACGACAATTTAGGGCTCAAGGCAGTTTAGTAGAAGTATTTTGCTGTTTGACCCTGCTTTTCTTTTTTTTTCTTTTTTTTTTTTTAAGGTTTTATTTATTCACCTCTAGAGAGGGAAGGGAGGGAGATAGAAAGACAGAGAGAATCATCAATGTGCGGTTGCTAGGGGTCATGGCCTGCAACCCAGGCATGTACCCTGGCTGGGAATCGAATCTGAGACACTTTGGTTCGCAGCCCGCGCTCAATCCACTGAGCTACGCCAGCCAGGGCGACCCTGCTTTTCAATTAATTTTGATTTTTTAAAAAAAATCTATTTGTATTCTCGAAAAATCAGTTAGGCACTTGACCTGGTAAACTTAACATGTGAGTGTTATCCAGTGCTATCTATGATATCTCTCTGAAAGCAGTTATTAACTCTGTAGGTGTAAGTTTTCTAATTTAGCCGTTATGCTAAATTAGGATATGCTGAATTCTAAGGAGTTGTAGCCTGTGGCTTAATCCAGCTCTCTTTTAAGTTCTGAAGGGTTCTGCAGAAAAGTTAAACTTCTTAAGGGTTTGGATTGCCCATAAAGCTAGTCATATTTATTTTACCATTGGGAAAATTAACCTTTTCATTTTTTTGTCTTTATTGACTTGTATTTACAAAATACAATACTCTCAGTGGTTTGAGCTGTTGTGGTAGTCTCTTCCATCTGCCCTACAGAGACAAAAGTACTACTTAGTCAACTTGGTCAGTACCAGAAGCAAAATAATTCAAGGGCTGGTGGATAATTAGAAACTTTTTCCAACCTGTTAGGTTTCAATTTGCAGAGCTCTTTTAAAAAAGGAGAAATTGGAAATTGCTTTGATGGTTCAGAAACATTGTAAGCCTGAAAAAGTTTTTGAAACAGAGTATCTTATTTTGTATAAGGACTGTGCATGATATCCACTCTGTGGCGGGCAGGGGGGACAAAGACCATGAAAGCATCCTCTCCCACCACATCATTAAGAGGGTTAGCATAACACACTAGTTCTGGAGGCAAGAGGGCTGTGTTTCTCCTCCTGGTTGGGGCTGTGCTGGTGCCATACCCTTTTTCTGGGATTTGATGGGTCACCTTTTCCATTGCCTATATACAATACAGGTCTCCTTTTCCACTGCCTATACAACATGCCAAATAAACTGGAGTTGACATTCTGAAGTTATAAAGAATGGTTGTGTTTCCCCAAACTGTAGGAGGCTGATGGAAACAATAAAACAGCACAAAATGCTATTATCATTACAACTTCTGTAAGGGAGAACCCTTTGTCTGACAGATAATTTAATTGAAGTATTCATTTCCCTGAAAGTTGAGTTGGAAGGTAAAGAGTGTTTGAAAGGAATTTGATACTAGGTAGACAGTAGAAAATGTGCAAACTCTGAGTTAAAAGAAAGTGGCAGGTATAATAGAGCACTGGGTGACAAAGACAGGGATTCCAGTCACAACTCTCCTGGTCATTTTACCTTTGGGCCTCACCTTCTAGTTAATGAGGGGATAGGATTACAACACTTCTAGGGTGCAATTCAGTAATTCTATGAGTGAACTCTCTTCAGGTACTAAAGCCAGGTTATTCATTCTAACTCAACTTTAAATGTCAGAGCTAAGTAAAATTCAAGTGTATACTTGGCATGGTTATTTTGGTTTTATCATAATTTGATTAGAATGTTATCTTTATTTCCATATTAACTCCAGTAAAAAGGATGAAAGCTTCCAGAACAGTTGCAGAATGTCAGTATCATAATATGAAATGCATCAAGTACCATGTGCACCAAAGAGAAGGAGCACTTGATGGGCTGCCGTATCAGCTGTAAATTGAGAGCTTGTTTTTTTTTTTTTTTTCTTTGCTTTTGCTATTGAAACTGCTGGCTTTTAATATATACTTTAACATATATTCATGTCTGGGAGAGACCTCTTAAAAACATACTGTTTAATTTTTTTTATTATCTCTAATTGGAATCTACAAGAAAGTCAATCCATAAGCTAGCTATCCAGTAGAACCAATGATTGAATCCAAGGATATAAGTTTATGTGTATAAATACAATATTAATGGCATTATTTGGCTATTAGCATGGTAATCTAACTAGTAGTAGTCTTAAACATTTGAGTTCAATTATTTAACATTATTAAGCACAGACTTGATGGATCCTGGCACAGATGTCATGTATAATGGCTGTTAGCCACTCTGTTCCCAGTACCAGTGATGGTAGTGAAAATTAGGAGCCAACAGGATTCCTTTCCTACGTTTAAGTCAGTGGACCTGAATACTGCCTCAGACGCAAAATCTTAGACCTTGTTACCCCCACCCCAATGAGGAAGGGTACTGCTGCTTTTGGTACCCATTCCCCTGCTGAAAACTTCCAGTCTCTCAGCATACCGTCTTCTCAGATCTCTCTAGGGAAGTGGTGTGGTTCCTTATCTTATCTATAAGACGTTGCTGGCTATTGCACTAGCCTCTATGCCAAAGCATTTCATCATATGGACCTGAGAATGTATTATAGAAGGTCATGCCTGAAGCAAGGCGGTGTGGGAAGCCCCAGGAAGTGACAGTATTTCTACAGGCTGTCTTTGCTATGAAAGTAATTCCGGAAGAGGATGTTACGGTCCTCAGTCACTGGTCTTGGTTTACATTTAAGTGGATGCCTAAACAAGAGTGCTGTGTAAGATCTCAGGTGCCCCTGTGTTCTTACACAAGGCTCTGGAGGACCACCTTCTGCTGGGCCAGACAACAGCTTGGGAGACAAAAACTGAATGAGGCGGGATTGTTATAATTCTAGCTACAGACCATAGCTTTTACCTTATGTGGGTTTGGATTGGACCACTGCTCAGAGTCTTTCTAGCTTTGTAAGTCAGGGAAGAAAATGTATAATTGGTACTCCACTAACTACTTGGACCCTCCATTTATATAATTATTATATAAACTTATTAATGGTAGTATAATGAATCCCTATGTATCCATCCATCTTGGAAAAAGAGAAAGATTTTCCATCTCTTTTGCCACGTGCCGATTAAAAGGGCCTGTGTTCCCTCTGGTTAGATGAGTGGCTAATAGAATGTATCGTTCTTGAATCTTCTGTACTGAATACACGACCTGTAGCTGTTGTTTATCATTCGTGGTGTTGGATAGTATTCTGAGCCTCGCAAGACAAACTGCTATCCTCAGTCAACACCCTTTTTAGCCTTGTAACTCATGATTATATTTTATCTTTCACTAAGATGCCAAGCTCCAGCCCTTGAGAGTTGTCTGTTAGGAGGAGGGTCTTTTCCAAACGAGTCTTACCCTCTAACCAGCAGAATTGTATTCTTGGTTACACATTTTTACTAAATAGGAGTAACTCTTGAGTATCGCATAAGCCTTGTGAATGGATAAGTTGAAATGTAATTTGACAAGTAAGTACAAACCTTTGAAAGTCTGAAGGAGAAACTTTAAACTTACACCATGGAATACATTTAGAAAGCTATTTTTTTAGAATCTGTATTTTATAGCAAAATTAATCCTGCTGCTTCTTTACTACTAAGGTAACACGGTTATGTTTTAAAAGGTCCTTCAACAGATGCACCCAGAGTCCTGTACTGGGCGGTAACTTCTGCTAGTGGAAAGCTGTTCATTGCTCTTAGGCAAATTAGGTGGCACTTACACTTGCCTTTATTCCATTCCATAGAACTGCCTTTGTACCTCTGGAGCTGAGCACAGGCTGTAATAGTTGCTTTTGAGTTCAGATCTTTGTGAAAGCAGAGAAATTCTCTATTTGAATATACTGGTCTTTATATTTCAGTAACTTTTTGACATTAATTAAGAGTTTGTAGCTTCCGTTCATTACTTGAAAGGAAGAGACTCTTGTTATAAATTTGACAGAACTTTTTCACTTTAGTTTCAAGCATTGGTGGGAAAATTTCTATTTTCCCAGCTGTCTAAAGTGACCACACAAAACGTAGGTTAGTTCCTACCTTTAAACCTAAGGTGTAGATTATAGACACATTTTTGGTTTGCAACACAACAGTAAGCATTCCTATAAATTAGTTTGAGAAATTTTATTTTGTACAAGGTATGATCCCTCTGCACAGTGAACAAATATAAATCTGGGTTGTTTAAAAAAGTATTGCCATTTCATAGTCTCACTTATGCTATTACACAATAATTGTATTTTCTTCATTCATTTGAATTATATGCAGATCACTTTGAGTGAAAACTTAGTTTCTGTAAACTAACTGAACAGATCTTTCCAAGCTGTCAATACAATGCACAGTGCATTTAGGCCGACCATGAACTTATTTGCGGCAGTGCTAGACAGAAGTTCCTAATGGTTGCTCTGTAAGATTGAAATGTCTTTTACTAGTAACTCTTAGATAATGTGAAGACAACAGTTGTCACCATCGATTAATCACACCCTCTGTCTTTCCCTGTTCCTGTATTGCCTGATTTAATTTCCAGTACATTTCTTTAAAAATGAGAATGCTAGAGCTGAAGGGTTTTAGGGTTCCCTTACCCCCCTCTTTGCTACTCCATTTTTTTAACATACAGGTGTAAAAAGAGCCCCAAGAGGGCAAGTAACATTCAAATCTCTTGACCCAGTGCTTTAGCAATTCCACCATGCCACCTCTTGCTGAAATTTGCGCAGAAGATAGTTGGCAAAAGAGAGGTGAAACTTGAAACTTGGGTGGGTGATGGTGCTTGTTTGCAGCGTGCCAGGCAGCAGTTACTTACATGCAGGGGGAGGGAAGAAGATAAAACCTGCGATTGAGATGGCGTTTCTCCTTGCTGATCTGACTTCACCATGATTCTCAGTCCTTGCTTCACGAAGATAATTGAGTACTTGCTGCCTTGAAATACTGAGGTAAGTCTCTTATCTATACTTCTTTCTACATATATGTGAGAAATATTTACTTCGGTCTACAAAGTACTTTTCTAGTATTTATATTTAATAAGGCATTTTTGGAAAGTAAATTTGCTATTGCTGATCACTTGCTCCCATGCACACATGCAGCATTCATGTTAAGTATTAGATATTTTCCCCTAACAACATTTGCTTAAGCCTTGAGTCAGGTGGGGAGGGGGGCGTTTACTCATCATTTTTCTCCCTTTTGCTGGTTATTTCCCAAACTAATGGGTTCCATGGCAGACTTCCAATTTGTATCAAGGGTTTCAGAACTCCCACACTTCCTGTAGCAGTTACTCCAGCTTTGCAGTCATGTAGTTCTTTTTTTGTATACCTTTTGGAAGTATTTTTACTAGCTGAATTGTTGTCAGAGAATACAGTGGTATAGGGATGGCCATCAGTGTTCTCACTTTGCCCTTTCGTCTTTAATTCTTGTGAGAAGGTCCTCTTTAGGGCTTGGGAGTTGGCTCCATTTTGACTCATCTGAGCCCCAGTTTACCTGCATACATTAGTAATGACAGGTATGGACACATTTGAATACTGGGAGCTGGAGCATTAGCTCATTGTAATTTGGTTTGGGCCATCTCAGCAGGTGGTGGGCTGATGGTAGAAGGTAGAAGTACTTCACATCCTTCATGCTGTTTACTGTCAAGTTTTTACATCATGTTGCAGCAACCTGACAACATTTCATTCTTTCTTTGATCATTTCATTCTTTCTTTGATCATTTCAATTTAGTTTCATCAAAAAGCATAATGTACTTTAAGCAATTTAAACTTAACATACCCTCTTTTGTCTAATTTCCTCTACACTTTTAGGTTTCATATTACATCAAACTCAGAAAAATGAAGAAATGCTTGAAAGCACGCACTCTTCTGAGTCAGTCAAGGAATGCCAACCAAATAAATTTGAGAGGCCACGTAGCCGTTTTTAGGGGTACTTAATCCTTGTCGGCCTGTGACTGCTTGCTTAAAGCATCATCTCAGTTTTATTTCCCATGGAATGACTAGGGTGTTGGGTAGACGACAAGGCCAAGGGTGACTTGCAATGTTCTGGAACATTGGGTTGGCAGGAGTTGGTAAAAAGTGGATCCAGAAATACCGTCATAGACTGAAACAGGCTGTTGAGCTTTGAAAACTCATTTTCTTCTTCCACCAGCAGGGGCAGAAGAGGGAAAATTAATTTCTATTTATTTAAGTCTTTTAAAAATTGAAGTTGTTAGCATTGGACTATGTAATAAACTCTGTAATCCTGACCATTGTAATTTGATGGACCAGATATATATGTACAGGTACTTTAGGATTGGTATTAACACAATTTGTGTCTATGTACTAATTATCTTAGGTAATCAAACAGGTGTTGATGATAACAGCAACTAGAAGTACATACATATTTCTGGTATTTTAAATTGATCCTCTCTCCTCCCCACTCCCCTTTCCCTCAGGAAGGTTTGTGAAACCTATTCTACATGCCTTTTAAGCATCATGTTTCAGATAATTAAATATATAAATAAATATATTTAGCTATATTTAGCTGATGTTGAGTAGCTGTATCCTAAATGTTTTGAAATACATAATCCAAGGCATCAGGGGTTGGGGTTGGGTGGGAGGTAGGGTTTGCCTTTGGGAACGGACCATTTGAAAAATACCCCAGTTCCACTTGGAAGCTCTTCTTTAGTTTCAGGTGAAAGTAATAACTAACACGCAGCTGGAGTCAGTCTGTACCATTATTAGAAGTCAAGGGATTGTCTTCTTTCAGAGAGTCAGAGAATGTTCAGCAGAGCACATTGGAAGAGAGAAGCTTATCCCTCGTAAGACTGCTTGTCCTGGAAGGGCTCACTGGCAGGGCTGTGTCTTACGGGGAGGAGGTCATAATGACCAGGAATATGGCTGTTCCTAGGTAGGTCGTATGGATTCTGGATATAGCTGGAGTTATGACCACGGCCTTCTTGGACCACACTGACTGTGGGCTCTAAGGAATATAGTGAAAAATGAGTTCAGAGAACAGATTAGCTTTGGTTGCCTTGTTGGGGGAAGACTTCTATTTAACTGGGTGGGGAGAGAAGCCAGGGATTTATAAATCCGTGATAAATACATGAGGGTTAAGACTGAGGCTTGCTCAAGAGATGGAGAACATCAGTGAGCATGCTGTCAGAATCCCAGGCTCTGGTCAAAACCAAGAGGTTTAGAATATCCTAGAAGTGGGGAGTGTTACAGATGAGCCTAGGGACATGGGTTAAGTGAGAAAGTAGAAGGTAGTGATTTGGAAAGTTCAATGTTCTCATTGTTACCTTTTTTAAACTGGGATTTGTGTCGACAACCAGTTGAAGTGTGTGCATGTGTGTTACCAACGCCCTACCTCGAGTATTTCTGCTTCATACTAGTCCTGGTGTGTGTGTGTGTGTGTGTGTGTGTGTGTGTGTGTGTTTAAAGCAGAGTTGGCATAAGAATTTGATTTCCTGCATAAGAGAGGAGGGCAGTCCCAGGAAAGGCAGTGCACCTTGGATTCCTTAGAAAGCAGCAAGAGAAAAGGTGTGTTTTCAAGACGGGGTGAGTGGAGAGGGATTGTTGATTTTTACTTCAGATGCTGCACTATTGCCCTGATTTCACTAAGGTACTTATTTGAGACACCTACCAACTTCATATATATTTTTATTAGATGTCGACAAGGATGGCACATCTGTGTACGGAGACCCCCTGTGCACAGGCGACTTCATTTCTACATAGCTGTTTTCTGGAAGCTTGCAGGTGAGGACGGGTGGGTCCTTAATTGTGGCGTAAGGGTTTTCACTGCTATTCAAGGAACAAGTGCTAGAACTGCACACAGACTCTTTCATGTAATCTGCAAAGCAAGAGAGAGCTCTTAGGACAAGCAAGGACATACGACTTCATAATACCAGAGACAGACTGTAGTCAAGTTCATGTGCTTTTGTTATTCTGGACCTATAAAAGCCTGTGGTAGACCAAGATTTACTTATTAAATATGTTGAGAGTTTTCCCAGGTAGGCAGAGTTCTTTTTTCTAAAAAAAACGAACAAGCATGTTTTTGGAGGGATGGGAAGATTTTTGTTTTTAGTACTCAGTTATAGCACCAGAAAGAGATGAATTCAAGATATTCATAGTGTACTTGTACATCTTTTATTATACGTTTTTACAAAATTTTGCAAGGATAGTTGATAGTTTGCACTGTATTCCTATACAATGGAAAGGCCCAGAGAGACAAAGTGATTTGGCTAAGGTCACACAGTTCTTAACAGGCAGTGCCAAGACTTCAGCCTGCGCCTTGGGACTCCTTGGCCTGTACATTTCCTGTAATACCATCTGCTGAAAATGTTCTGATGATTAAGCAGCTTAGGTTTAGAAGGAGTAGAGAGAGGGTGTGTGTTTTGGCGCAGGTGTCAGCAGTTTGGCATCCTTTCATCAGCCAGCTGGCTGCGTCCCAGCTCTCTGAGAAGCTGGTGGTCAGAGGTGGGGCAGACAGAAGTGTAACAGAGATGTCAAAAGCGCCTGGGTCTCAAGCTAGCATTTGGAAAGTTCCTGTTTTCTAGCAAGCCTGCAAGTATCCCCGGGGGGTCATTTTCCTCAGTTCTTGTGAATGCTAAAGGGAAGCTATTTTGGTAGTAACTTTCTCCGATACTAGGAGAGCTTGTGCTTCCTCCCTTGCCACCTCTCAGGCATGCATCATCCCTAAGACTGCAGGTTATGTTAGGGGAAAGGGATGCAAACTAGTTCCAAACATGAAGCCAGGTAACAAGCTCCACTAGAGGAAGAAAGTTTTCTTTGTGACTGAGAGTCACAGGAGGAAAGGGGGGCCCCTCCCTCAACCTCTGCTGCCTCTTGTAGATTGTCCCAAGTGAGTCGAGACTTTATTACTCTTATTCTCTCTAATCCGGCAGCTTCGCTTCCGTCCTCTTCTGCCTGGGGCTCTGCCGGGCAGAGGGAGGGAGGAACACGCGCTGAGTTGGAGGGGCTTGATAGTCGAGAGTGATGCAAGTGGCCCCTCTGCTCTAAATTTCTACAAGTGGTAGCAGATGGTGATATTCTTGGATCTTCTCTAGAACTACTACAAGTTACATTGTGCTGCTACTTATCTATGCTTTCAGCCTTCAATGTGTGAAATTAATGGAAATGTAAAAAAGTGAAAGTGAAAATGTGACTCAAGGGTGGACTGGATAGATGTATCTTTGTCCAGTGAGAGCAGAACAGAACACTCCATGTGGCTGAAGGAACTGAGATTGTGTGTGTGTGTGTGTGTGTGTGTGTGTGTGTGTGTGAGTGAGACCAAGTTTTTTACCCCTAACAGGTGGTTGGGGCGGGGGGGGGCGGTTACTTTTCTGTTGGTGTAGAGTTACTGATGTCTGTTTCAGCAGGTAACATTTCCTCAATCTTGTGCAAAAGTACAGTGGCCTGTTAGTTCCTTCAAGTGTTCATAACACCCTGTGGTGTAGGTAGAGCAATAATATTATCCTCCCCCCCTTAATTGCTTATGAGGAAATTGAGGCTTGGCGTGGGGTGGTGACTTCCCCAGCCATACTGCAAATCAGTAGCAAAGCAAGCTCTAGAACTAGGCTCAGAGCACTCTTTCATCACAGCTTAGCCCACAGTGGAGAGGAATAGTGGCTTGGTTTCATCTTAGATTATGGCCTCTTTCTAGCATATTACCCTAGACAGAAGGAGGAGAAAACATTTCTTGCTAGACAATGAATGAGTGGCTCTAGTAAGGACCAAAGGGAAGCTGGATCGGCCCAGCTGCTGTGACGCTCAGTGGGGAAAGGTGGCTGCAGGTTCTGGGCCAGTGAGTATTTTGTTTGAACAAGGAGCGGGGCTAAGTCCAGGAACCCTGGTGGCATGGGTCATCAGTTCGCTTTGGGTGCTCTGAACTCACCAGCCGGGGAGTGAGGCCCTATGACTCAGTGGATTGTCTGCAAGCTGAGGACTGGAATTGTTTAAAGAAGGGCTTTCTCCTGAGAAAAGTCCTAACACTTCTACCCTCCTCCCCTCCCAGATGCATCCTTTTACTTTGATTGGCAGCTGCTTCAGTTGTATATTTTCTAGAACTTAAGGAATAGTTTTATTTGTGTGGCACTTAAAACTAGCATTTCAGGTTAGTCATTTGAAATTTGTTACAGCTGGGCAGGAAGGACTAGTATTTCTACTTTAGAAATGAGGAAACTGAAGCTCATAAAGTTTGCTTAATGTTAGTAACTAATTAGGACTCAACCACTGTTTTCTCTGATAATCAGTCAAGGTGTTTTTTCCTCCCACCAGTTTCTTCCTGCCCCCACTCCTCTGGTATCTCTAAATGCGAAGTGTGTCTGCAGCAGCTTCACCTTAGCTTTGACAAGAACACCGTTTATCTGTGAGGGAGGGGCCAAGCTCTAAGCCTGTTTGTGGCTATCCTGTGACTGACTCAGTTATGGCAGTGGGAGAGCCCTGGAGCTCTAGCTCCATGCCTGAAAGAGCCTCAGGCAGGCAATTAGTGCCCCTCTGTTCATTTCCCCAGAAGAGTCAGAGCTGCTTCCAAATGTGGGGGGGTTGGGGATAAATTGTTTGCTCTGCAGCAGGGGATGCACCTAAGTGGATGAGAGAGAAGTTAGGGTTGTGGGGGAGGGGATTCGTGTTAGGGAGAAGCTGTATCTTCCATAAAGGGGCAAGTGGTAAGGACAAGGATGGAGGGGTGTGTGTGTGTATGTGTGTGTGTGTGTGTGTGTATAGGGGAGGGTGTTGAGTTATGAATAATTGGGTTCCTGTTTGGGAACTGGAAGTGGGGAGAGGGCTAGGCAAGCTGGGAAACTGCTTTTGGAATCGGCTCTTTCTCCAGCTGACTGATCTACCTGCCTGCCCAGAGGGAGGGCGTGATGAGGGGGAAGAGTAGCCAGCTGTTCTAAGATACTTCCTCATCCTTTTAGAGCTCCACCCTACCCCCCCACCCCTTTGTGCTTCAGAGCATTTTGCAAAAGGGAAGCATCAACCAAGGCTACCCAGGCTCTGGAGAGTCGCTCCCCCAAGACTTGTAATTAGCAATTAGCATCAGTACTCTATAATGCCCTGGTATTTGCTCTCACCTTGTTCCTACCTCCCCAAAATCACAGGCAGCCATATACTATGGGAGGCAGAAGGGGCCTCTGAAATGAGCTAATGTAAACATTTGATGAAAGGAAGCAATTCTGAGAGGAGGTGACTTTCCAAGGCCACCTTGTGAGTGGAATCTGAATTTGCCAGGGCTTTTGGGTTCAACTGTCTAGTTAAGGCCAATATACTGCTGGGAAAACCCGGGCACTGCAAGGCTGTCTTAGCTGCCTGCTCTTATCAGAAGGCCACACTCTTCCTGGGCCTAAGTTAGCATCCTTCTCGTGACTGAGAAACGAGGATATGCGGAGAGGGAAGGGACCTCTCAGTTAGGACAGCCACATTAGCTGAAAAAAAAAGTTTAGCAATGCCAGTGGGTTCCTAACTACCTTGGAACCCAGGGAAACTATAAGAAGAGACTCGGTTAAATTACCAAGGGGCATAAGATATGGAAAGTGGCAGTAACAGTGGAAATCAGTTTTGGGACATAAAGTTGATGGAGAGTTTTAGGGAAGATCTCTCCTACAGCAGTTTGAAATGCCTGACAGACAAGGAGTTGAATGTGAGGTAGTTTGCAGTTTGTTGCAGAATCGTTGTGATGAGGGTGAGAAGCGGAAGGGACAGCGAAAGGTGTTTGAGAGGTGACAGGCGGTTAGCACAGCAGTGTGTGGTCTCATGTGACCCCCAGAACGACAGTGAGTGGGGGTCTTCAGTAGAGAGGAACGGGGGAAAGAGAGGGGGGATTGGCCGAACTCGTGACTTCCAGAGCGTCACCCTGGAAAGGGCCCGGCGTCGGTGTTTGTACAGCACTGTCCTCCTGGTAGAGGGGTGCGCCTAGACCCAGAAAACAGCGCTGTGACCTGGTCAGCATCGCACCACACCGCACAGCACAGCAAGAACTAGGGCTGGAAGCCATGTCTTACCTCCCACGCCAGGGCTCTTTCCAAGTTAGAGAACACTTTGACTCTTCATTCTTAATGGTTTGGTCAGTAGGTTTAGAAAATGATTTCATTCCTGGTACAAACTAGTTTATTAAGTGTTTATTTGGGAGTTCAGCCAGTTAGTGTGGGTTTATTTCATGTCTGGTAAGTCCTTCTGTAAAGATTTGAATTGTGACATTCCATTTTTCTCTCTGAATTCTTTTGTTCACATGTGTTGGTTCCCAGTAACTGCTGGTACCTTTGCCTACACAGCCCCCTTTGCTCTGTAATGTAAAGGGCATTTGTAGCCAGAGTAGTGAAACAATATCTGCACTCAGAGGCTCAAATGCGAGCACATGACCTCACAAAACAGGAATGAATGACGCTGAGGCACAGACCATGCTCTCCTTAGTTTTTGTTTCACATTCGGTCACAAGTCTAAAAGTAGCTACTCTAGTCACAATGCACAGGACAGCGAAGCGCGTAGGGAAGTTGTGTGCTCATTTATCGAGGTGCCTGTTCACGAGGTGCCTGAGCTTGTTCACGATTGGGTCATGCATATTCTCAGAGCTGAAAAGGCCCTTAACGATATTTCTGCCCAATCCTTATGCCTTTTTGAGAAAGGAACTGAGGTCTCGGGCGACAGTGCTAAAGCAGCAGAGCCGTCTTTTCTGTATCAAGCCTTACTTGCTGTAACGGCACTTGTGTTCACTGGGATGGTTTAAGTCAAAACTCAGAGAATTGGCAGAATGATGCTCCCAGGGGAGTAGTGTCCTTTGGCCAGGAGCCGAGGGATGACCTCCTGTCCTCAGACCATTCTCCTGAGCAGTGTGCCTCCTAACGTGTGGTCATGGAGGCTTGCCCTTCCTGTTCCCGTGCTCAGAACACAGTTCTCACCGCCAGCACACCCCCCAGCTTACACCATTTCTAACAGCCACCGCACTAGGGCTACGGATGGTTGTGTCTGTGTCTCGGGTTGAGTCTGAAAGACCAGAACAGTAATCTGGAAAATCTGGGCCAGTCTAAACCAGTATGTACTAAGTGGTAGTTGGGTGATAAGCTGCGTAAGGATACCCTGAGGTACTCTGTGCAAATGCAGATTCTAGGGCCCCACTCTAGATCTGCTGCATCAGAATCTTGGGGGGTAGGATGTGAACTTCTGTAGTTTTAGCAAGCTTTCCGGCTGATTCTGGTGCACAGCTAGATTTAGGATATCCATTGGGACCTCTGCTGTCAGTCATCTCTTACTCCTTGTGGGTGAGGCTCTTAAATGGACCTCAGAGATAAAAGGACAGCCCATTTACATTAGTATGGTCCTTCACAATATGCAGAACCCCTTCCTAGCTGTGACTTTATTGAATACTCATGACAGCCTCGTTAGACAATGGGACAGGCGTAATTATCCCAAACCTGCAGATAAGGAAACTAGGCCTTGGAGAGCTCACAGTCTAAGGTCTCGGTTAATAAGTGACAGAGTAATGAGTGTCATAGTTCCACAGCTGCCTGTTTCATACATTCTGTCATTTAGACGGAGGGCGCAAGCCCAGGGGCAGGACCTGACCTTTCATCTTGGCTTCACCCGCAGACATCCTCGAAGGGCGATGCCACCCCGAGTCCCCGTGTGTTGGGACTGGCCCTGGCGTCCCAGCTTTCAGGGACAGAGATCTCCTGAGGGTGGAGCACCAGGCAATACTAGGGTATCATTTCCAGTCCTTGTGCCCCAGAAAGCAGGTGCAGGGTGGCATTCCTTAGCGGTGAAATGACAGGAGGCCTCGGGGGCAGGTAGATTGACTTTATTTCAGATTTTTAATCAGTTTAACTCATACTAATTGGTTGGATAATGACGTTCTACATTTCCGAAGACATTTAGTTGGCATCTATAAAAAACCCACAGCGTTTGCTAAGCAGGTGCAACTGAAATCGAAAGATGAATTCATTATTATGGTTGCTTCTCCTGGGCAGAGCTACCCAGCAGCCCCAGGTCCCGTAGTCTTAACTTTTGGGGGATTTGGGGGAAGAGGTATACAGTTTCTGGTAGAATTTCTGGCCATTTCAGATCTGTGCTCTTTATCTTGCTAAGCCCTTTCTAATGGGACATCGGGATTGGATACTCTACCTTTGAAGCCTTTGTCCATAATGTATGTGTTTTGACGTCTATCCATTCCACAAGCTCCTGCAGACAGAATATAAAGAAAAAAATAAGGGGGTGAGGTTTACTTGGACCACATGTGTTGGCTTAATTGCTTTTTTTCTCTTTTTCCCCTACCCAGAAAATAAATGGTTCTTTAGTGCTAGAAAATTATTCTGGGTTTACTGTACTCTAAACCTTTATGACCATATAGGAAATTCTTAAAAGACTCTTAAGAATTTATGGTGAGCTACAACACCCCCTGGCATTCTCAGCATTCCTTCTCTTTAACCTTCACTCTGAGGGGAACATTTTCCAGGAGGTGATCAAAGGCAGTTTGATGCCACCTGCAGTCACCATAGGTGAAGTTCCAGGCTTCGAAAGTATAGGATAAAGAATGGGTCAAAACCATTTCTTAGCTTGCGATGGGTGCCTGACATTCCACATCCTAGTTCCATTGGATTTTGAATAAGGTGGAAGACTTTCTTACCTCTCAGCTCTGGTCCTGCCTCTCCTCTCCTGGACCAGGAGCTTGACTGAGGGGCCTCGGAGAGGGAGGGGGACAGGGGGCTGAGGCCCTTGAGTAACCACCTTTACGGGACGTCCAGTCATCCCCACCCACAGGCAGCGTTCTCAGTGTTTCATCTCTCAGGCGGACCACTTACACCTAACTGAGAGCTGTCTTTGAAAAGTGTTGCCAGTGTTTTCCAGTGCCAAGGATTTTTCTCCCTTTTAGCTGTCCCCGTTTATCCGAGGCTCCCACAGTGCATTGTCCTGAGCTCCCGCCATAGGCAGGACATACAGCTTCACAGACTGAGCTCAGGTTGTTTGCTGCTATTGATCCCAGAAAAGAAATTGTCTGGCATTTTTAGTTTGGGGCAGTAATGACACTGGCTCTGAGTCAAAGCCATTCATCCCCCATCGCCCCCCACAGCTTTTCACTGAGGACCAGGCAAGGCATGCCACAAGTGCTTACTAAAGCACAGTTTTGCTCCTCGGTTTCTGATACTGAAAACCAACCCGTTGCTATTTAGATACCTCCCCACACCTCCTCCACATATAGTTCCCAAGTGAATTTAATCTATTCCCATCTGCCTGCCTTCCAGGGAGTGAGAGGGCAGAGCCAGGTCTCAGGTTTTCTCAGGTTTGCTGTTCTATTCTAGTGGCTTATAGGTACCCGTGCCCTTCGGAAACGTGGCTGCGGCAGTCTATCCCTGGCATTAGTTCACTCTATATAAGACAAGGGCTTCCTTTGCCTTCCCCGAGGGACAGAGGCTCGACTGTTAACTTTTCCCCTTTCCATTGAACAGGAAACAGAGGCCCAGAGAGGGGCAGTGACTCATCTGAGACCACATTAGCCAGTGAGAAGTTGAGTTGAGCCAGATGTCCCCAAGTATGCTGTCCCATTGGCCACCAGCCAGCTTGAGTGTAAGCCAGAAAATGACTGTGTGGTGGCTCTGGCTACACTGGTTGGAGAGGGAGATCTCAGAGCAGGGAGAAATCTGGGCAGGGCCCAGAGGATGCCCCAGTGTGGAAAGATATACAGGGTAGTGGTGTTGTGTGGGGTGTGTGTGTGTGTGTGTGTGTGTGTCTCTGTGTTGGGGGGGGGGGCTTGTATTTGGTGGGGTTATTGAATGCCCTGGATACTGCCTGGGGGTCCCATAGCCAAGAACACAGCCTCCTGGGTACAGGCCCAGGGTCTTTGCCGACCATGCCTACTTAACCAGCAGATGAATTGAGAATCTTTACTCTTAGTGTTACTGGACCCAGAGGCCTACAGGGTTTCTAAAACTACTTCCCGTGAGCTCCAGAAACCAGCTAGAGCCTGAGCTCAGGCCCAGGTTGGCCAGTGTACGGAGGTCCTGTCCTAAGGAGGCCACTTGGAGGGGGCCACGTCCTCTGTTTGGTCATAACATCGCTCCCGTGAGACCTCCTGTAACTTCTACCCAGTCTCCCACTGCAGGACTGGCTGTTTGCATTTTGCCCAGGCCACCAAATTTGAACCTAATACACGAGCACAGAGGACGTTGGTTGACACATCCTGTCCCAACTTCCCCAGATCCCTACTTGACAGCCCTACCCTAGGACTTGGGAAAGCTCAGCCTAGGCTGCTGGTGGGGCGTGGGGCCATTGGGCTTTTGGGCCAGAGAGCCAACTGGTTGCCATCCTCAGGTCATTTCTCGGTGGTTTGGGGTGTATTCTGTGGACTGTAGGGAGTGTAGTTATGCTGTGTCTCCTTCACCTCACGCCAGTCACGGTTTGTCCACATCCACTGACCATGGTGGGAGGAGAAGGGGTGATGGGACCCAGACAGGTTTCATTCATTAGGGGATTGGGCTTGCGGCTCATCATGTTGGGAGGGAGGGGTGTTCGATCGGGAGAGTTCTGAGACCCCTGGGGGTGGTCAAGCGAGGGGCAGGAATGGGAGGTAGGGCCAGTGCCATGTCTACATTGGTATGAGAGCTTTGAGGGTCCCAGGGATAGAGGGTAGGGCTGGGGGTCTAACCTGGTGAGTGTGGCTCAGCGGGGCGGCTGAGGTGTCTAAGTTCAATGTAGAAGTCCTCGGGCGGGTACCTGGCCTCCAGGGCACTGATCTGGAAATGGGAGTCTAGTGAGAGGAATGACAGGGAGGAGCCATTATTCCCAGGGCCCTGGTGTGGCAGGGGAGGGGATAGGGGTGTGAGGGTCAGGGTAGGGCAGCCTGGAAGGAATTAGGGCCCTATGTACAGCATCCGAAGGGGCTGGAGTCAGCAGGGCCATGGGCATTTGCTAGAGCTGAGGCTATTGGCCTTGCTTCCCCAGACCACCTGCCCCCAACCCCACCCTTTATAGGAACTGGAGCCCACCAGGGCAGTGGGAAGAAACCCCTGAAAGGGGTACCTTGGTAGGGCCTAGGTCAGACAGGGGTTCCTTTTCTAGAAGGTGAATGAAGGCATCTTTTGCCTCCATCTGGAATCCCCATACCTGGGTCACAGCCACCCTCTCCCTTTCCCCCAATAGAGGAATGAAGAGGGTCCTGGGCTTCATTTGCTTATAAATCTGGAACAGGCACTGGCACTTGGGTTTCCTCCCCACGCCCCTATTCCCCAGGGGAAACCATGCTCAGGATTCATCTAGTGACCCTCTCTATTAGAGCTATGACGTGGCCCCTCTCAGTGTAGAGAAAGGGAACCGAGGGGACATGATTGCGGGGTTTGAGGGGACACACTCAAACCACTACTGACCTAACACGTTCACATAGCTGTAAGGGGTCCAGCCTGCTGTGTCTCTGTCAGGGGACTTGTTACTGAGCTGTGTAGAGAGTAGGAGAGCCAGTTAATACCTCGTGCCCAGAGGTGCCCCTGCCCAGACTCCACTCTGCCCAGCTGTGTGCACCCACCTCGGTCCGGGATTGCTGAGGGAAAGGGAGAGCTAGGTGTTCTGTGACACGCCACCACGGTGTGGCTGGTGCCAGCAGGAGTAAACATGCCCCCATCTAAGCTGTCTGGCTGGAGCTGTAGGGTTCCTGGGGCCAAGGAGGGCAGGGGAAGGTCCTCCCCGGGGCCAGGAACTGGCTTGAGCCAAGCTGGGCCTGACGGGATAGGCCCTGCAGTGGCTCACCTGCAGCATGAGGCCATCTGCGCAGAGAGAAGTGCTGGGGCTGCCTGCAATGTCACTGTCACCTCTGCCACTTGACCTGTGCTGTGTGTGAGTCTCCCTTTTAGATGACCAAGGGAAAGCTTCAGGGTAGGGTGTCCTTATGGTGTAGCCTTTCCTCGTCCTGCATTCTCACGGCCTCGCGAGGCAAGGATGGTGGTCCTCATTTCACAGGCGGGGGTGTGAGTCCTGCTGGCAGGCCCTGCTCTGGGTTACACAGGTGTCTGTGGCAGAGCTGGGTCTACACTCAGGTCTCAGCTCCCAGACTCATCACAGCTGCCTGCCTTTGCCCCATGCATCCTTTGCTACATCTGCCAGGCTGAGGAGTCTTGGGTCCACACAGTGCCACTTGAGCCCCAGGGGTGCCGTGAGCCACAGTTTGCCAAGTGGGCTGCTCTGCAGTAACTCCAGCACTTTACTGAGGGAGGGTGGCCGACACTTTCCTATTACAATGAGACCAAACACGGCTTGGCCACAAAGGACCTTTGCCTCTCAGCCCTGGCATCCCCTGTCTCTGACCCGCTGGAGTCTTGATGATGTGGCCCTACTTAATCAAGGGCCCTCTACTGGGAACTTGGTGGCTTCCCCCAGCCTCCAGCTCCTCAGATGAGGCTGGAGCTGGAGCTGGGAGCGGGGGTCTGAGCCGAGGAGGTGTGTGGTGGGAGCGGGGTCAGAGCCACAGGGCCGAGTGTTGGGCCCGTGGCCACAGACTGTGCATCTAGGCTGTAGGTCCTCCTGTGTTCTGCACTCCCATTTGGGAAATCTGAGGTGAGTGGCCTCTGGGTGTTGACGTGACAGTGGTTGCCCTCGGAGTTGTACAGCACCAGTGTTGTCGCTAGAGGGTTCACACTGCACTGCCGTCAGTTCTGTGGCAGCGAGCACGGTCTGTGGGCTGACGGGCATTTTCTGTGGGGCGGGCAGGGAGACAGGTTCTCCCGGGCTCTGGGCCAGAGGCCTGGGGCATGAGAACTTCGCTCTGTGTTCCTGGCCCAGGATGGGTGTCTCAGGAAGCCAAGGGTGCTGTTGTGTGTGCGTGTGTGCTTAGGTGGGTGTGGGGAGGTGTGTGCAGTGTCAGCCTGTCAGACCTCATGTTCCTTGAGGCCGATCTTCCTCCTTTCTGAACCTCCCACTCTGCCCAGTACGGTCCCGGCACACCAGCAGGGCTCACTACACGTGTGTTCGGAGACATCCTGCCCACGGTCCTGTGAGAGGATATCTCACCACCAGCCCCGGGTTGTGCTCGGAGCAGTGAGGGAAGGTCGGTAGGACTCACTGTCAGCGACAGCATTGCTCTGGCTGACGCTTGGGTTCCACGTCCCCTGTGTTGGCCCCCATCACAAAACCGGTTGTGGGTGTGGACTGACGACCTCGGCTGGTTCCTCTGCGGGGACTGGTTACATACACAGCATCGGTAACCCACTGCAGTGATGCTGGGATGTGGTGTAGTGTTTCCATTATGTGTGTTAACGCGTGGCAAAGTGGCCGTGTGGTGCACATGGTTAGTGACAGGAAGGCTGCACATGATTACGTGATCATATGACTTGGTGCCAGTGGCTGGCTACACACAGGGTGTGGGGACGTGCTGTATTGAGTGGTGCTGTGAGTTGGTTGTGTGATGCCTGTTGGCTCTGTGGTGCTTGTTGACGCCACGTCACCTGCAGGCTCCCTGTTACACGCTTCACAGAATGTTCACGTGTTCCACCGAGCACAGAGCTGTGTTTCATATATTGGCAGTTAGTTCCACATGGACCCTCCAGGTGGCAGGGGGTGGTGGGGGCAGTCCCTTCCTGGGCAGAGGTAAGGACAGTGGATAGGGGCTGGGGAGTCAGGGGGCTGGGGAGTCAGGGGCCCGGTACCTTGGTGGGGCTGTTCCTGTCCAGAGTGCTGGCCTGGCTGGTGGCAGGCCCCCCGCACGCCAGTGCGTGGTAGCTGGAATTGGAAAAGCACTGGGCATAGCTGCTACTTTGAGACAAATCTGGGAAGAGAACAAGGTGCCACATACATCATACTCCTGCCCCTGGCATGAAATGCCCCAGTACTAATGCTTGGGCCGGGAAGCCTTGACAGTGCTCTGCAAGGAGACAGCCAGTCCCCCATGCTTCTTGGCATCACTGCCCTGACAGAAATCTGTGGAGCCTGATTCGCCCCGTCCCTTGTGGCGGCCCTCTGCAGCATGCAGGGTGCACCTCAGTGTTGCCAGTGTGGAGGGGGGCGCCAGCAGCCGGAGCACGGATGAGGGAACATTGGCTCTGACAGCCTCAGTTGTCCCTGAGTCACAGCTTGGGGCTGTGCTCTGCCTCCCCCCAAGGTTAGGGCCCAGTAGTGAGGCCCCAGTCCTGCCCCTCTCTTCCCTGTGGGTTCCAGGACCTGTCGACAGGGCTGGGGAATTCTGGTGGAATGGCATGGGGAAACCTGGCCAGCCTTGCTTGTTACAGTCACAGAAGAAAGTCCCTAGAACTTCTCTGTGGGCTTGGCCTTCCATCAGAGGAGGCTTGTTTTGGTTGAAACCCTGGGGTCGGGGTGAGGGAGGGATTTCAGGTCAGGGACTCTGAAGGTAAGGCCTGCACCTGGGCCGTCTCTGTCTGTCTGTGGCACCTGGAGTAGGGCTGGGCAGTAGGCAACCTGTCGCAGGAATGGGCTAACGTGACGTTGGTTTTGTGAGTACAAGGTGTAGGCAGCTTCAGGTCAACCACGAGCTGTGGAGCCAGCTGGAGTGAGCTGTCACCCTGTGCCCACCCAGACAGGCCCAGCTCCTGTGGGCCAGGGCTTGGGCCATTTCAGAGCATTTTGGCCTCTTTTGTTGAGCTAAATATGAAGCAAAAAGCCCTCATTTCTGTGTCAGCAGTCCAGGGTTCAGGGGAGGAGAAGGACGAGGAGGAGGATCTGGCCCAATAGCCCCACCCTCACCCCACTCGGACTCCCGGGATAAATGCCCTTTGGAGTCACCACCACATCTGTGGGCAGACTGGGTTCCAGCAGGCCCAGCCAGCTCTCCCCTGAGTCAGGCACCATGCCCTTCCACTCTGCTGCTACGGCCCTCCTAACTCTCCTAGCTCTCGGGACTGCGAAGGGAGGTTCCTCTGAGACCTTCACCTGAGGAAGCAAAATTGGGACAGGATCTGGGCCCCAAGTCCAGTTTCCTGAGGAGTCAAGGCATCAGGCAGGAGAGAGGTTCCCCTGGAGAGTTTAGGAAGGTTACTGCTTAGTATCAGGTGCTCTGTGGCTGAAGGCCGGGAAGGCCCGAGGGAATGGAAGGAGGCTCCTAACCACAGGCACTTAGTGCTGGGGGCCCAGGAAATGGTACCCCCTGGAACCCCATCTACCTTTCCCAAGTAAGACCCCTGCGCTCCACCCCCATTGCCACCCTAGGGCAGTCTGCGCACCCAGCCACCACCCCTGCAGGCATGACCAGCCAGCCACTTTCGGCAGGGAACTTGGGCATCCCAGGCGTCCCCGTGTGGCTCCTCCTGGGTTGAGTGTGTGAGGGGCGGGTGCTGGGGGCGCAGCCCTTACCTGAGAGGGAGTAGTCAGTGCTGGTCATCCTCATGGCCGGCGTGTAGGAGACTCGGGGAGCCAGGTCTCGGCCTTTCTCTTTCTGCCGGCGCCGGCGCCAGGCGAACAGGCCCAGCAGCACCACGAGGAGGAACAGCAGGAGGATGATGCCTGTGACGGCGCCCACCGAGTGCCGCTCCGCACCCAGTGCCGGGCTGATCTTGGTGTAAGGATTCAGCTCCTCCATCATGAGGGCAGCTGTGGGCAGAGGGAGGGCCTGAGCCTGGGGCAGCAGCTTGCTCTCCAGATCTCCTCTGCGGGAGCTGGACTCCTCTGGCGTCAGGAGACCTGGGTTCCGGTCTTGGCCCTATTCTTCGATGTCTGTGGTCCCGGCCCTCACTGTGCCTGTTCCGCCACTGCCTAAAGTGGGCGGCATCCTAGGGAACCCCTGAGGAGCAAATGTGATCGAGGGTGGGAAACTGTTTGCTGAGTATTTTACTCTGCTCCAGAAATGAGTTCTAACCTTCCCAGCAACCCTATGAAATAAGGGTTATTTAATTCTTTCTCTTTCACAAATGAAGAAACTGAGCCACTGAAAGGTTGGGTCACTTGCCAAAGATCAGACTATCAACCAGTAACTGGCAAGGTCGGTTTTTTCGGGAGTTGGGAAAAATTGGACTCAGCCCTCTCCCTGCTCACCAGCTGTGTTTCTTAGATGTGACTTAGAGAGTCCTCAGTTGGCTCACTTGTAACATGGGACAGTCCCCAGGGGACTGTGAGTACCACACGACAGACTGGCAGAGAAAGCTGCGAGTGCTATTCCCAGGTGCCCACAATGACTGCCCACAAAACCCCTCTTGATGCGTGTGGGGCCTGACCCCCATCAGCATGCAGTGCGTGTGGCTCTGGCCCCTGTTCTGTAGTCTGGCTAGCTGAGCCCCTTCTCACCCCCGTCTCCTAGTACCAAGAGCACTAGAACCCTGTACCCATTTGCAGCACTTTAAAAGGGTTCTCATGCAAGTAACACATTTTTTAGGTGCTCACGTCATCTCACCTCAGCCCTCACAACTGCCCTGGGGGGGTTTCTTCTGACTAGACTCGGAACCCAGGTTGCGCCCCTTGGGGCTCCTCCACCAGAACCTCGTGCCGTGGCAGAAGACAAGGATCCATGTACTGTCTCCACTTTGCATTTGGAATAACAGGCCCAGCAGAAAGAAATGACCTGCACAAGGTCATCTAGCAGGTTGGCAGAATTCGGCAGATCTTCAGACGGTCTGGGGACCTTTCCACAGTGCTGGCTTGTGGTTACCCATGCTTGCTAGGCTCACGGGAGGCGGGGGCTGAGGCCACCTGCTCCATCTGCCTCTCCAGCGCCTGGGACCGCCTCCCAGCCTCCCGCAGCCCGCCCCACTCCTGATCTCCTCCTGAACGTGAATAAAGTCACAAGGTGCCCTTGTACAATCTGGTGGTTCCCACTGGACTCTCCCTAGAGCCTGCCTCCACGGGGCCCTTCCCATCATAGCCCCTTGCCTGAGGACTCTGTGCCGTCTCAGTGTTACCTTGGTCACACCTGATTCCTTTGAATCCAGAGCTGCAGTAACAAGTGCCAGTGACGTGGTCACAGGTGGCATTGTTCATGCACTCACATAGCTGCTGACACCCGTAGCCAAAGGTTCCCGGGGCGCATCCTGTGTGACACAGAGAAACGCTGGGGTAGGTGCAGGGCAGTCATGCTCCCCTCCCCTACCCCACATGTGGATGGCCGGCACCACACCGAGTGAGACCTACTTCTCTGGCTCCTGTGGTGCTTTGGTGTGGTACTTGGGGCTAGACAGCAGCTGTAGACTGAGTTAGGGGACACCCACTCCTATTTTCTCTCCACATACACGTATACAGCATCCTCCACGTGCCAGGCCCTGAGCTGGGTGCCACATGGGCTCCAAAGAAGAAACAAGGTCTCCCTTTCTCCAGTCAGGCCTCTGAGCTGCCTCAATGGTATGCCATTCCCAACTGATAAGAAGAGACTTCAAACACCATTGTAGGCGTGGCCTTCACCCTTTTCCTAGGGAGTGGCTCCAGAAGTCCAGGGAGCAGGGCACCTGGAGCCAGAGTGGGCGGGTCTAGACAGGGAAGGACCCCCCCTCCCCAGCCCAAGGAGGCCAAGGCCTGGCCCTGACACCAAGGGCTGTGGGCTGGGATAGCTTACTCTGCTCGCAGTGTTGCCCGGTGAAGCCTGTGCGGCAGGTGCACTTGCCGCTGATGTGGTCACAGCTGGCTCCGTTCTGACACTGGCACACACGCCCGCAGTCCTTCCCATAAAATGCTGCTGGGCAGCCTGGAGAAACAGGGTGGGGTGGCTGCAGAGGTGCAGGTGGGACCGAACCTGCCTTCTGCCGCCTCCAGCTGAGCGTGAGGTGAGAACTGGGGAGCCCATGCACCCAGGCCATTCCCACGCTCTGAACCCTCACACCAAGAGGGTGGGGAGTCCTTTGGACAAAGGTGCCTTGGCGCCAGAAGCCAGGCTTATGTCTTCTGGTGGTGCAGTAACAGGCCACTCTCTTCACCCTGGGCCCCACTGTCCAAGGTTGAGCAGAGAGGGTCTGGTCTTGATTGCTGGGGAAATTTAAGAGCCCTGACCTCCCAGGACTTTGGGCTCATCAACACCTGAATCCATTCAATTCCAGAGGTGAGGGGTGGAGCTCCTGGCCCTGGGGCCCTGCCTCCTCCCTCCCCCATCTTCCTGCTGCAGCTCTAGACGATGCCCCAGGCAGCCAGTAGGCTGCAGCATGGGATTCTGAATAGCTGGGAGGGCCGGAGGCAGAGCTTACGCTGCGTGCAGAAGAGTCCAGTCCAGCCAGGGGTGCAGTGGCAGGCCCCGTCCTCGGCACTGCAGCGCGCCCCGTTGTGGCAGCTGCATGTGTGGAAGCAGGCAGGGCCCCAGAACCCAGGTGGGCAAGCTGGCGGTGGACAGGTGGGACATGGAGGATGAGGGCAAGGCAGAGAGGAGCAGACAGAAAGGGAGAAAGGAGGGGAGGATGCATATCAGAGCCAAGATACCAAGTGGCATTTCCTGGCTTTCAGGGGGTTTACCATATTGTACCCAGAATTTCTCCGTTCATTTCTTGTCCCAGTCACCCAGGGTCCCCATTAAGCCCAGCTCCTTTGCCATCTCCCAGCTCTGAGGGCTCCTGAGCCTTCCTTCTCAGGGGCCTGACCGATGTGGAACGTGCTGGTGTGTGTGGTAAACTGTGAACACCGCAGTTTACTGTGTGAACGCTGTGTGCTGACCTCCCCACGAGGATGAGAGCTTTCCCAGGGCAGGGACTTGCTCTTCCTGCTGGTGAGCTCCCTGAGGATGGCACCTGTGTGTTCTCATCAGAATGGAGATCTCCTCAGGCCAGGCCATCTACCTGGGACCTCCCAGATGGGGACCTGCTGGGTCTCGCCCATCAGCCAAGGAGCTACACCCGGCGGAGTCTGGGTCTTTGCCCTTAGATTGGGGGCCCCCGTTGCCTCTGTATTAGGTTGGATTCACCTACAGGAACAGCCCCTGTAATATCCTGTCTAGGCTTATGGTGCCCAGGACGACATTCACAGGGACCACCCAGATGACGCCCCTGTCCCTTTAAGGTGACTGCCCTCACTCACCTCACTTCCCTGCTCCCAAATTCCAGCATGTTAGTCCCAGCCCCCTCTTTCTCCCCTACTCCTTGCTCAGGTGCTGAAGGAGGATTAATTTTCAATATTAATATTAATGGTTCTATCAACAATAATCAATACCTTTGATACCAGCAGTTAATAATGCCGGTGATCAATCCTAACAATTCATCATGTGAGCTAGAGAGCCAAGTGGGACTCGGGCGGACATTCCCATCTGCAGAAGGAGATTTCCGCCTTGGGAAGTAGAGGCACCGGGGGCAAGGGGAGCTGGGCATTCTGCAGCCTGAGCCTGGGAAGGTGGGGGCCGATCCCAGGAGGCAGCAGCTTACCCTGTGAGCAGTCCTTGCCAATCCATCCAGGGAAGCACTGGCAGGAGCCATCGATGGGGCTGCAGGTCCCATTGTTGGCACAGGAACAGAGCTGGGCACAGTCCTGCCCAAAGTGCCCTCCAGCACACACTGTGGGCACAGGAGAGCCTGGCACCTGCCCTCCACCAGCACTCAGACCCCCACCCACAGCTGCATCCACCCCCAGAAGTTCCCGGGCCACAGCCATGACCACCCTGGGGTCAAGGGTCTGCTTAGGAACTGCCCGTCTTCTCCCTTTGCACACAGATGAGTTCCCCTCTTGTGCCCACAGCTGCATTCTTCAGAGGGTCTATAAATGTCCCCCTCTGACAGAGGGACAGATAGAGGCCCACGGGGTAGAGTCGCTTGGCTGAGGTCTCACAGACACAAGTGCAGAGGCTGGGACTCCTACCACGGCACTCAGTCCAGTGCTCCCCACACTGCTCCGTGGCCTCTGCTTTCCCTGGCATCACTGACCCACGGGCGTCACGGAGGACTTTTTGTAGCTGAGGGGGGCGGGGGCGGCAAATGCAGGTGGCAGGTCTGTCTGCCGTTGATTGGAGGGCTGGCCCTAAAAGTCTATCCCTGTATCCCCGTTTCCTCTGTCCCTCCAAATCTGACCTGTTCCTCAAGCCTCAGCTCAACCCCATCCTCAAGAGAGCCCCCACCACCCCTGGGTCCACAGGGAGCGCCCTTTCGCTGAGCTTCCTTGGTGTTCCCACTTGGAGTCACTTGGAGGATTTTGGTCTCGGCCCCTCCTGGCGGAGTTACTCCTTGATCTGTGGAGGAAGGGCTGGTTTCCTCAAGCAACTTTAGGACTAGGGCTGAGTGTTAACATTGAGTACCTATGTATCATTTCCTCTGCAGTTCATCCTCCACCTTTTTTGTACAGCTTCAACTCTCTAAAGTGCAGTTCTCTCCATGGCACTCCCGTGCCCTGCCCAACATCCTCAGGGGCTCCCCATTGCCCCAGAATAAAATCTAGATCCTAGAGATGAGCACTTAAATCTACCTCACCCAACCACGCGAGCCACTGGTCCACACACCACTTGCCAAACACGCTCCACGTCTCCATTCACTCCGGCCACTCCCTCACCCTCGGGTCCAGCTGTGGGAATCCTACCCTGCCTACAGGACTCATCTGAGATGCCGCTTCCTGCATGACCGCTCAGCAGTCCTTCAACATTAATTCTCTTCTTCCTTAGTGGAGTCACGAGTTTCGGCTGGGCCTATGGCCACCTGGAATAAAGACTTCATCTCCTGGGCTTCTGCATAGCTTGGTATGGCCTTGTGACTACATTCTGGCCAATAGCCAGTGGAAATGCACATCATTTTGCCTGTTCTCCTAGATGAGGGATGATATGGAGGATGGATAGGAATTGTGGGTGAGATGGCTGGAGCTTAAGCAGCTGTCTTCCATCAGACCTGGAAGCCACGTGCCGAGGATGGCTGGACAAGACAGGAGGAGCCTGGGTCCCTGACACCTTTGTAAGCCACCCTACCATTCCCAGTGGCCTCCTTCTGCATCTTCTCCCTGCTTTGTTTTTTGTTTAATATGTGAGGGACATAATGTTAGTCATTTTCAAACGAGGTGTTCTGAGTTTATGTCACCTGTAGCTGAACTTGATCCTACCTGATTCACTCCTCTTATCTGTCCTGTGGGGCTGTTTGTCCGTGTTTGAGCTTCTAGAACACTCTGTCAGTTTCTTCCCTGGTCGTCTGTTACTGTGGTTTGTGACTTATTTCAGGCCAGGTCTGGGTTCCACCCATGTCTGTGTCCCTCAAATGCCTGGAAAAACCACAGGCCCTCAAGGCACGGTGGCTGAATGTGTGCGAATACCCTCCCACCCCGTTCCCCCAACTTGGCAACCAAGTTGTTGGGACAGGCTGAGCTCAGAATTCCCCCTCCAGACTACAGGCTTTGTGAGGGCAGGGCACCTGGCTCTCCTGCTCTTTGCTGGGTCTGAGAGCCCAGCGCAGTGCCTGGCATACAGCAAACACTCAGGAAATGTTGCAAAGTGGCCAAAATAGGCCCCAGGAGCAGCAACCTTCCAGTGGGTTCTACTGGAAACTCTTGTCCCTTAGAGTTCCTCTCAGCTCAGCATGCTCTCCTCACAGCCCAGCTCCAGCCAGGAAGGCTTCCTCCAGGAAGGCTTCCTTGCACTCCTCTAATGGGGGAGGAACTCCTTGAATCCCTGAGACCCTCAGCTGGTTGAGCCACAGGGAGGAGGATCACGGGGAGGTCTTGATTCTTGGAGAGAAGCTGCTTCCCCAGGGCCCAGGTCTCTTCACCCCTGGGCCGCACTGTCCTTTAAGCAGCACTGCCTGGCATTCACCCTGCCAGCCCTTCCCTAAGCAGACTTCGGGAACCTGGTGCCCGGATCTGTGTCCACTCTGCATCCCTCCTGGACGTGATTAGTGGTTGGGACAAATAACAATGGCAGCAGGGTATACTGAGCTTTCTTGTTGACAGCCGCGGGTTTGGGTTATGGTTTCATGCATGTATTCAAAGAAACTTCCATTGCACTTGTGTGCACCAGCCGCTACTCAAAGTGCTTCAGAAGTACGAGTTCAATGAACCTGGTAATACTCTCATTATATATTTTCATTATTACTCCCTGTTATTAACTCCACTTCAGATAAGGAAACTGAGGCACTGAGAGGTTAAGTAACTTGCTCAAGGTCACACAGCTAGGAAGGTCTGCCGTTTACTGGCCAAGTACCTTTGTACAAACTGTATCACTCCTCTCTGGATTCCCTCCTCTTTGAAATGGGGGTGATAAGCCTTAACCACTGGCTTCAGGCTGTGGGTTAATAGCTCCAGGAGGCTGGCTGGCTGGCTGGCTGGCTGGCTGGCTGGCTGGCTGGGGCCCTATGCTCCTGGCAAAACCCCCAGCTCCTCCCAGGGCAGGCCCACTGCCAGGAGGATGACACACATCCTCTGTTTGAAGCGCACGCTCTGGCTCCGGCTCCGGCTCCGGCTTGCTGGAAAGCATGCAGCCCGCCTCCTCTGGGAGGTGCCTGATTTGGGGAACCCACCCGCCCCCGTCCTGACCAGAGCCTCTCCATCCACTCCCATCTCAAAACCAACTCCACGCTTCTCTAACAAGGCAGTCTCATCTTGGAGGTCTCTCTCACACACACTGGCTGACAAATCCACCCACAGAGCTGTTAATGTGATCAGTCTCATACATTAATTGGTCGACTTCTTAGCTGAATCAAGAGTGAGGCGAAGAGAAAGGTGGTGGACAGGAGGGGGGCTGGTGAAAAGAAAACAGCTGGTTATATTTAATCTATGCTTAATGATCCTGCATGAGTGATGTCTGTAATTTGTAACTCGCTGGAATGCTGGTCATTAGAAAGTGTCAGTTCAATTTTTTACAAGGTTTGAGACTTAACCAGGGCAGTTGCCATTAATAGCCAACACTATCAGATCTATATGTGGAAAATACTCATTAGGCCAGCGGGCGATAAATCAGACATCACAGGATCCGAGAGTTACTCCTTGGGCTGCTTAGGTCTTAATTTAGACCGGGCCTATCTGTATTGATGGCCAGGTCTCTGATGTTTAATAAGTAAACCTCGATGTGTCAGGTTATGATTAAACTGTCCTAGGAGGGCTGCAAGCAAATGAAACTGTCACATATGTTTCTCTAGGGTCCAAACTTCTCGTGACCTCAAAGCATCAACAGAGTAAACTTCTCACTCATACATATTAACGGCCCATGTACTTAAAAAATAGCCCAGCTCAGCGGTGATTATTCATCAAAAGGATCAGGTCTCTGGGAGGTCTTGAGCTCTCAATCAAAGTATTTAAGCAGAGGTCAGAGGAGATTCTTGCACAGATGACCTTGAAGTTGCTTTTAGCTCTAAGTTTACCTTCGTCTAAGATCCTTTCCCTCCTTCTGCAACCTGGAGTCCAAAGCTGTTCTGTAGGCCCTGACTACCTTCTCAGCGCCTTGTCCACCCCCAGCCCCTCCATCCTTCGGCTGTCCCCTACTGCTTGCTGGACAGTCGCATGTCCACTGCCCTGTGCTTTCCCCAGGCTGCTTCCTCTAATTGAATGCCTTTTTTCTTTCTTTTCCTTCCAAGCGAAGGCCCAGTGAAGTCCTGCACCCCATGGAGTGTCCCCCGACACGCACCGTCCTGGCCTGCCTCAGCAACAAACAACGGTCTGTGCTGGAGCCAGCTTCTGCCTTTCCTCTGTTGTTAAATACTCAGGTTTCCCGTAACTGGTGTTAAACCGTTGGGACCTTGGGATCAGCCACAGGTGGGAACAGTGTACCATGGAAATTCACAAATGTTACAAATCAGGGCTCTCCCTGACAGAAAGCCAGGGTAGCAGCCCACCAAAGCAAGTAAGTTTTCTCTCTCTTTTCAACTCCTGTTGAGTGGCAGGGGTTGGCTAGAGCTGGTGTAGGATTCTGCTGCTGAGACAGGAAAGCGGGTGGTGCAGGGTTTGTGATGCTGGCCTAAGTGTGAGTGAGGGGAGAAGGGCCGGAAAGTTGCAATTCCGGCCCAAACCAGGGCCCGCGCCTCCAAGCTCCCGCAGCTGTCTCTGTCTTTACCACTTGGCCCTCACTTAAGCCACATGGACCTCACCTGTGCCTGTTTCACTTTTCCTCCATTTAGCATGGGCTTTGGGTCAGAATTTGTTTCTTGCTCTGTCACTTGCTAGCTGTGACGCCACAGAGAAATGATTTAACCTCTCTGAGCCTCTGCCTTTAACCGCATCATGATTTTGTCTCATGCCTCGTGGTGCCCAGGTCTTAGGGAGGCAGGCCCAAGCCCTGAAGGAGCAAGCAGCTGCCTCCACAGTATGAAGAGACTCCCCAAGCCCCTTCTTCCCTGCCCCCCTCTCCCAGGACTCTTCACCCGCCTGGCCCTGTCCTCCCCCAAGACAGTACCTTGGTTGCAGAGAGCTCCAGAGAAGCCGGGGAGGCACTCACAGGTGCCGCTGACGTGGTGGCAGGGCCCGCTGCTGTGCACGCAGAGGGGGCACGGCTGGGCGCAGCCGTGGCCGTAGAACCCCGGGGGGCAGACTGAGGGTGAAGGGGAGATGTGGTCAGCAGCCCAAGGGGCCTCAGCCAGCCTGGTCACCCCTCTGGTCCCACATACTAATGAAGGCAGGCTCCTCAAAAATATGGGGAGAGCCACACCCACCCCACTCCTTGGAGGGCCCCTTTCTGCAGAGAGGAGCAGAGAGGAGGTCCCTGAACTTGGGGACAAAAAAGCTAGGGAGAGAGGGGTCTTGAGGGAGGGGTTTGATGGGGGCCATCCCTGAGAGGCCAGCCTCTCTCAGGTCAAGACTAGTTCCAGCTGGGAAGGGGCGGGGAGGATGAGCCGCCTGAGGTCAGGCAGGTGGGGGTGGCGGGGCTCAGCCTTACTTCTCTGGCATAAGGGTCCTCGGAAGCCAGGGGCACACTCGCAGCTCCCATCCTCCGGGGAGCAGGAGCCACCATTCTCACAGTTGCAGGAGACTGAGCAGTTGGGGCCCCAGCGACCCGGTGGACACGTGCTGTCACAGCGGACACCTGTGGGCCAGAGGCAGACTGCGGTCAGCGGTGAGAGGGGGAGGGTGAAGAACGGCAGTAGGGGGGCACCGTGCTGCACGATGAGGTGGAGGCAAACCATGCATCTGGGAAAGTGGAAGAAAAACCCAGCCAGGGCTTGGCCTGTCGGGGAGGGCTTCCAGGAAGAGGTGATGCTGGAACTGAGTCCTAAGGGCTAAAGGGAATCTGACCAGGTAAAAGAAACCCTACATGCAGAGAACAGGAGGCGGGAGGGAGAATTGTGCCTTGAATGAAAAAGTAGTGCCGTGGGGCTGCACTGTCAAGTATAAGCTGAGAGAGGGCAGGAGACTGAGATTGTGGGAGTAAGGGACCAGATCACGGAGGCCCCCTTTATTTTTGACCTGTTAGCTGGTGCCCAAGGTTAGGCTTGGGAGAGACCAACTGTGCGGCAGGTGAGTGCTGTCGCCAGGGGCTGCACGAGTTAGGAGAGAGCTGCACACACGTCAGCCCGGGAGCCACTGGTTCTTGCTGGGTCCCAGGCAGCAGGCTCCGGGCAAGGGGGGCCCGGAGGGTGGGTGGGGTCTTTCCAGGTTCTCTTGACCACAGTCCTCAGTCCACTACGTCATATGGGCACACATATCCATAATAGAAACCAAGTCTTTGAAAAAATGACACTGTGTATGATGCACTGATATTTTCTCTGCACTGTGATATATTCTATTCTTTAGAGAAAAAAAAAATAGCTAGCTGTGACCCAGCAAATGGATTTAATGTCCCTCAGTTTGCCAGAGAGGGCCTAGGGGGACGGATGGAATTTCTCAATGAGAGAGAGGAGCGCAATGAGGCCTACACATGTTTTCTGAGCTGAGAGAGGGGAAGTGAGTGTTGGTGGTGATTACCTCCGAAGGCTGAGAGGAACTTGAGAAGGCTGGAGGCCCCAGCTCTGGGGTGGGGTTTGCTCCGAAGCCGAAGGGCTTCCCATCTCACGTGTATTATTTAGGTCAATGGACCAGGTGGGCCCTGGAGGCCTGTGTGGCTTTGGAAGGTGAATATCAGAAGCTCAGAGAGGAGCAGAATTAGTATAAAACTCATGTCGGCCTTGTTATGAAGACAGGGATTTTGAGAGAGAGAAAAAGGGAGGAAGGTACTTGGGCCCAGTGGACAGAGCCAGTCTCAAGCTGAGGTGGGAGAACAGCATGCCCAGTTAAAGGGTGGGCTGGGACTGTCCGAGCCCATCTGGGCTGGTGGGAAAGGTGGGGGGTGGGGGGAACATAGAGGAAGGGGAGGCAATAGGCTTCACTCACTCTCCAGTGCCTCCTTCTAGCCTAGCGCCCTGCCCCGCTCCCGCCCTGTGATGACTCCTTTTCATAGCAGGGTTCGGGGACTTATCTGGGGCGGGGGCTTCTCCCTAGGGGGTGGGATTTCTCCTCAGGGAGAATCTGGCGGCCCCACTTCACCCCTCGATGGAGGTCTCACCCAGTGGAGTGTCAGGTGCACAGACAGTGCGCCCTGGACCAGCACCATCGACTGGCTGGAGGGAAGCCCGGGGAAGGGGAACCACGAAGCTGTGCAAAACCAGGAGCCGTGGTCTGTCCCAAGGAATTCTTTTGCCTGTGGTTGTTGAAAACCCAGGATTTGGACTGCAGGCCGAGGGACGCCACTGTTCCTGGCGGGGTGCCCCAGACTAAGGCGGACTCCACCAAGCTCCTGCGTCACACGCAGACCCAGCTCTTTCCTAGAACTATACGCAGATGTTACTATGACTAATAAGACACACTGCTTGCAAAATACCCTGCATAAAACACCCTGAATTTATGGCAATGTTTTGTTGTTTTCCCCCAAGCCACTCTCACATGTAGGATCCTCAGAATGTTTTCATGTCAGAAAGGGGTCCTCTTTCTTGGAGATTAGAACCACAGGGACAAGGTGACTATGCTCAGATCTCAGGTGGCTGCACGAATTACTCTATTCTAGGCCTGGTTCCATGGGAATAGGGCTCATGTTTTTATAAGGAAACTATCCGCATGGCATGGCGAATGTAGCCCAGCCCCGACTCAGAAAGCTGGTGGGGAGCGAGTTGGCACACCGGACCCAGGCCCATGGATCAGTTTTTCCGTGAGCAATCAGGCCTGCATTGTACCTAGGCTGCTTTGAGGCTTGCTTTTTGCTAAAACTCCCTCACCTGAATTGAGGCAGCAAATGTTTACTGCATATCTTTAAAGTAACTTCCTAAAATCTATGCTAAACCTCCCAAGGATGGAGTATAACCACTTCAACCACTTGTTCCTTTGCATTTGCAAATACCCTTTTTCTTTGTAGTAATCAGCAACATCCTCTCCTTTGTTATCTGTAAAATGTAACCACCTAAAGCGAACCTGTACATAGTAAATGAGGACCATTCTTGATGTAATGTACCCAGAAAAACAATAAAAGCCTGTCCAGGCAGGGGTTGGGGCCCTCTCTCTCACTCAGAGTGGCCATGTCGTCCCTTTTTCTTCACAGGAATTTTGCAATCGTGTGAATTTGTTCGTTGCAGCCACAACACATGGACCCCACTGGCCAGAGTCCACATCATGTTTGAGCTTCTTTTATGCCCTAAGAGTGACCTGGAACTTAAGACAGTGGGACCTAAGTGGGGAGGAGGGGCCAGGGTTCTCCGCATGCAGAGTGCCCAGTTCTAGAAGGGGACTTACTAATGTGGTCGAAGGGGCTGACCTTGGCCTGGTGGGAGGATCTCCAACTACAGCTTCTGAAGATGCATAGCTTCATCAGCTACCCTCTCTAGGCCCAGTTTTCCCTATAGTTGAAGGTAGATAATTTCCCTTAGAGGTCCCTCCCCTTCTAAACCTTAGAGACTCTCCCTGCTTTATATTTCAGGACCCTCCACACATCTATATTGGGGTGCTAAGCATCCACATAGTGTAACCTCTAGTTCATGCCACAAGCTCAACAGCCCTTGAAGATCATCCTTCAAGATCTGCTCAGAGCCCTCCTTCTCCAGGGAGCCTTCCTGGATGTCTGCCCAGGGATTCAAGCATCTAATCGACAGTCCCCAGCATACAGCTTTGTCCCCACCTATTATCTGAATGTTTCAAACATATGAGTTGTGTATCTCCTGCCAGCAGCTTGAAAACAGGGACTATGGTTTCCGGACACTTTTGAGCCTCCTTTTTCGGTGCTTATAATGGAAAGGGGTGCCATCTTGGTCATTTTTGCATCTCTGGTGCCCAGCACAGTGCCTGGCACATAATAGGTGCTCAGGGACCACCGCTGTTTGTGAGTGTTGCCCTTCACTGCTGAACCTGACACCATGCTGGCCACACCGAAGCTGCCAGATGAAGACTTGGTAACCGCTTGAATCAGGAAATGCTAATCCAGTGAATAAATGGCTCCCCTTGAGAATGCCGTCCTGTGTCTCCCCTCCCTTGTTGCAAATGTCCTGAGAACTTGGGCATCTCCCCTATCTGTAGTGTGAACAGAGCGGAGTAGATCATCCTCAAGGTCTCCTTCACTTTGAGAGGAAAAACCATACATGGTTATAGGCCAGCTCATTTCAATTTATCTCAGTAAACATGTAGTAAGCATCTACTAAGTGCAGGACAAGATGAATTAGACATGCTACCGGTCTGCAGGAAGCCAGTGGCTTATGGGGACAAGAGGAAAGACATGTGCCCACTTTGGGCCCAGAAAAACTGGTGTCGTGCCGAGACACAAGCAACACGTGAGGAGCTGAGGAGTTGGGGTGGGTGGGGAGGGCTCACTGGGCGGGAGGCTGGGGCCTGTACTCGTCCCCTCCCTACCTCTCCTTGGGGTCCTTCTGCACGATAAACCTCAGGACATCAATCGCTTCTTTGAAATGACTTTAGGGCCATGTTCGGGGAAATTAGCTTTAGAATAGCTGAGGCTTTGCTGAAAGGTTGTCCATCAAAGACAGAATTTCTAAAGTACCAGACGTCATTAAAATCTTATCGGCTCACTTGAAATGAAGGCAATGAAAAATTAAAGTGGAGTTCTACTCGGCTCCAGCTAAGAGTCTGGGGGGCCAGTGGGCCGAAGGTGCTGCCGAGCAAGCGATGATGTCCCGGCCCTGTGCTGCTCAGCGGCTTCCTGCTCGTGGGGAGCACAGGCTGCTCGGCGCCACGGTGAATTATCTATCTGAGGACATCCGCCACCAGCAATGCCTGCATTCTTTCTCCTTGGGACTGGCTGGTGGGCTGATTCACGCTGTATGTCATTGTTAAGCTCTTCCTGTATTCAAGGTTTACATTCACCAGGCACTTACTATGTACTAGGCACTGTTAGTACATACTGGCGTTAACTCATTTAAACTTCAAAAACCCTGTGGTTCTAAGGATTATAATTATCTGCATTGTGTGGATGGGGAATCCAGGCCCTGGAAGGTTAAGGACCCGCCCAGCAGCATGGACCCTCGTGGTCTGGCTCCAGCCCTGCCTTCTGTGCTGCACAGACTCAGTGTGCAGCAGGCAGTGGGCACGGCGTGAACAAGGCGGGTGTGGGCCCTGCCCCCACAGAGCTGATGCCCACGGTGAGGGGGCAGGTAATAAACACATAGTTCCTAATCTGGGCTCGGTGACAGTGGTGGTACGCGCTGCATAAAGAAATGTGTCAGGTATTGTGGAATTAATAAAAAGGACTCTTACATAGTCTCAGCTAGGTTGAGGAGAGGGAGAGAGCCTGACCAAAGGAAATAATCTTAAAGTTGAAATCCGGTAGGTGAGAAGGCGGTAGCCGGTGAAGAGACAGGCAAAGGGTACCCATGCAGAGGAGGGAACGTGTGTAGGAAGGCCGCGGGCAGGAAGGTGGCTGGCCCTGGGGTCTGGAATGCAGTGAGTGAGGGGAGGGGGCAAAGGAGAGGTGGGGAAGTCGGAAAGGGCCAGATCATGTGGGCCCCGGGCCACCGTAAGGATCTTGGACTTTATATGAATGCCGTGGGGAGCCACTGAGGCATTCTGAGTAGGGACTGATGGGAAAGGACGTGGGTTTTGAAAAGTTCATTTTCCACTGTGTGCAGAATGGGTGCTGCTGGGCAAGAGGGGAGGCCCAGCAGTGCTGGCTGAGAGATGCTGCCCCCTGCTGGCCCGGCGTGGTGGCAGTGGGAGGGAGAAAAGCAGGGGACCTGCCATGTGTTTGTAAGGTGGGCCGGCAGGACAGGTAGAGCCCAAGACTGAGCCTGGGCCAGGGAGAAAGTTCCTCGTCCCTCTCTCTACCGCATCTTCTGCACATGCCCACGTCCACCAGGTGTCAGCCTTTGTCTGAATCTTTACTAGGGTGCCCTACCCTGTAGAAGACAGCCTGACAATAGGTGTTCCATAAGTATGTGCTTAGTCGAATTGAGTGAATTGGAGAACTGAAGCCCGGGAGAGAGAGGGAGAAGCGCACGTTTAGGGGACGAGAAGGAATGATGGAGAGAGCGGTCCAGCGAGGAAGGGGAAGACCAAGAGCCCAGGGCCACGGGACCTGGGGGTGGGGAGGCAGAAGGGCGTTACCTGTCCACCCGGCTAGGCAGCAGCAGTGGCCTGTGACGGGGTGGCAGCCGTCGGCATGGCTGCAGTCACAGCGCTCGCTGCAGTTCGGCCCAAACGTGCCATCCTGTGGACAGAGGGGGGGGGAGGCGCGGTCAGATCTGGACCCCAGAGCTTCACGCACTTCTGTTGGGTTTTGAGGACAAACCTGAGCCACTGCCCCACAAGTACGCAGTGATTTGGGCTGGGGCACAGTGGGAGCACTTTTTATAATCAACACGGCCATGGAGCCACTCCAAATAATTCTCCGGCTACATTAACGAGAGCACGGGGGTTGGAAGGAGGGGTGATGGTCCTGCCCTGCTTTTCCCCGGTTAAGTTCAGAGGGCTGAGATGACTGTGAGGTAAAATTTCAAATGGAAATATGCTTTGCAAGCTGCAACACATCGATCCCATGTGAGGGATGAGGATTCACCCTTCGTTACTGTGGAAGAAGGTGGTACTCATCCAACATCATCGCGTCAGTCAGTTCAACTCGTTCGTATCTTAGACGGAGCTCCAGTGATTAAGTCTAGGTGGGTATTGCTGGTAGCGCTTGGTTCAGCCGGCTCACACCCTGACCATAAAATTACAGACGCTGGAACCGGAAGGAAGCTGAGACATGGCCTATCAAGGAGTGGGTCTCTGCTGGGTTCTAAGGGCTGTCCTCTAGCACTGTGTCTGAAGGGTCCTGAAGCTGCATTTGGGCTCAGGGAAATATGCCAAGTCAGCTCCCGGCCCCCTTACCGAGAGCTGCAAGGGGGAAGGGATGCCGCCTCGCCATGTCACCGTAGCTGCCATGTGTTTGCCATTTTATAAAGGAGAGGGCTGAGGCCCAAAGTAGGAAAGTGGCCACAGAGAGGTTAGAACTGGGGCTGAGACCTGACCCAAGGTCTCCACACGTGCTCTTCTCTGTACACCTCTGTGGGCAAAGTAACCACAGGGAAGGGGGATGAGGGGACGGGGCCCACAAGGTCCTCCCAGCTGGGGACACTCACCGGGCAGGGCAGCTCGCAGGTGTCTCCCAGCCAGCCGGGGGTGCAGGAGCAGGAGCCGTCCGCGGGGCTGCAGGCTGCCCCATTGGCACAGGTGCAGCTGGCATTGCAGTTGAGGCCCCACGTCCCACTGGGACATGGCAGGGTGCAGTCGAGACCCTGCCACCCTGAGGGGAGGGCAGGAGGCTGTCAGCTCTCCATTCAGGCCCAGCACAGCTTTCTGCTCACTCCCACCAAGCCCCAACTTCTCTGGTCACTGGCTTAGGACCCACATGCCACACAGAGTCACTCAGAAATACGCACAGCTGTTAAGGGAGCTGGGGCTTAAATGCTGGTCTCCCGCCTCCCAGTTCCCACTGTTTTTGCTGTGGGCTGACGACCCTACCTGGGGCAGGGGACCACCTGGGACAGGAGACCCCCTGGGAGGTGGGGAGGGCTATCTCGGTCTAGGGTGAAGTCAGCCAGCTAATCTCAGGGCCCTTTGTTTTGGGGACAGCCTCATTGCCCACTCTGAGGCTGGTCACTGGCCTGTTTGCCCTTGACCCATTTCTCCCCTTCCCCTGCTCTGTTCGGTGTCACAGGTGGCCAGCCCCAACCCCTGATGTCCGAAGCTCCCCCTCGCTGGCTCCCAGATGGGCTCGCCAATGGGAGACCTGGCCCACAGACTGCAGGGTGGGAGCAGGACAGACACCAGGTACCTCTTCTTCTTTCTCTGCCTTGGGCAGGGCCTCAGTGGTGTCTGTGTCTTCTTTGTATGCGCTCCAGCACTGTTGAGCTGTCCCTCGGTCCACATCCCAGCTCCCACCAGGTGGCCCTCACTCCCAGGAGTGGTAGCGGCTCCTCCCACAGCTGCGACCTGTGAGTTGCTCACCTACCCTTGTTTGCTCCTTCAGCTGTCTCACATCACGGTAACAAATCCCCTTTATTACTTTCCTGCTGTTGAAGTTCCCGGCAGGCAGGTGCGGGTTTCCTTGGCTGGAACCTGATATACAGGCCCCCTGTCCCCTCAACTGGTGGCCCCCAGGGCAGGGTGCGCATGTGCGTCTGAGGGGGACAAGCTTGGGAAAGAAGCGCATTACCTTCCTTGCAGGTGCAGGAGCCATCCACTGGGGAGCAGGTACCGCCGTTGTTACAGCTACAGACGGATGAACAGTTGGGGCCGTAGGTCCCCGCTGCACAGGGAACTGCACAGACCTCCCCCTGGAAAAGGAGGAGGTGAGTTTTGGGTCAGAGGTTGCCCTGTGTGGGGCGGCTGTGACAGGCAGAATGACCCCCGCCTTCTCCTTACCGAAGACGTCCATGTTTGAATCCCTGGAATCTGTGAACGTTACCTTACATGGCAAAAGGCACTTTGCAGATGTGATTAAGGACCTTCAGATAAGAAGCTCGGATTACCCAGGTGGGCCCAATCTAATCACACGAGTCTTTAGAAGTAAAAGATAACCAAAAAGTAGCTTTGAGATGTCTTCCACCTGCCTGTGTTGACTTTGAGGAATGCAGCGGCTTCTCAGAGCTGGGATCAACCTTCATTCTACAGCCAGCAAGCAAAGGGGGACCGCAGTCCTACAACCCTAGTAACTAAATTCTGTCCACAACCTGAATGAGCAGGAAATAGATTCTCCCCCAGAACTTTTAGAAAGGAACACAGCCTGCCAACACCTTTACTTTAGTCCTAAGAGACCCATAGTAGTCTTCTGACCAACAGAAATGTAAGATAATAAATTTGTTATAGCAGTAATAGGAAGCCATACAGTGATCCTCATCAGTTGGGAGAGGATCAGGCTTCCAGACCACAGCTCCAGGATGGGCAAAGCCCCCAGGGAACTTGACCCCTGATTCCCTATTAGGTCACAGCAGCACAGAATTTAACCCTTTGCCTCTCAATCTTATTTGTCACCAGCAACCCCAGGACACCGGAAATAATTTCCTATCCCTATTTACCTGAACCTCAGGGAAGTTAATGTAAGTAGTAATAGATAATGCTCATTAAGTGCTCTCTCAATACTAGGCACCACGCACACATCACCTCATTTAATCCTCACAAGATCCTCAGGAGAGAGAAACTATTGCCTTGGCATTTTTCCTTAATAGAACAATTGTATGAAGTTTGGTAACTCAGCCCAGGTCATAGAGCTAAAATGCTTGGTCTCTATTTGAACCCAGGCTGGCTACTTAACCATTCTGTTACCAGGTGTCCTGAACCGGCTCACCTGGAACGCACTCTCTGAGACAGAGGTTAGCGAGCTCTTGAGAATCCCGCTGGAGGGGTGAGGGAGCAGGCCTGGGCAGAGTGAGAAACCAGGCTGAGGTGCAGGGCTGAGGCATAGCTGCAAGGAGAGCCTCAGCTGGTCTGCGGAGGAGCTCTGCAGCTGGAATGGCCCTTAGAATCACCCCGCCAGGGGAAAGGGAGGGGGAGCCGAAACACCCCAGCAACCACTGGACATCCACTGCCCACTGGAGAAAGGGGCACGACGTCAGGTGAATCTGGCCGAGGGCCATTTCCGGAGAGGGGCTCAGCCCAGAGCCTGAGCTCCCTGCAGCTGGGAGGAAGGAGTGCCTCCACCCTAAACTGTGATCTGGGCGGCCCCTACAGCACCCATCACAGCAGGCCTTCTTTGGTGGGCTGTTAGCTCCAGTGGGGAGTTCAGAGTGAGGGCAAGTTGCAGAGCAGGAGGCCCAGGACAGGCACTTCAGAGGCCTTGAGGTGGGGGTGGGGGCAGCCTTCAGTTGATCAGAGAAGAGTGGGGTCCAGGTGGGAAGAGTGTGGATGAAAGTGCAGAGAAGGATGAGGACAGGGAATGCCCTAAGGGTAGCTGGAGGGCAGTGTTTTGTGTAGGGAGGGGTAGGGAGATATTTGAAGGGGAGTTGGGAGCTTTGAATGCCAGGTAAGGGCTTTGTTCTCTGAGTCCTCACGGTAGCTGGATGTTGAATTCCCACGGTCTTTTCCTAGGGAGTGTTTCCATCCAGACTCCTAGGTCTTACACCCAGGCCTACGGAGGGAATGCTGACTCGGATTGGACCAGGAGACCAGAGCTTGTCACCCACTAGCTGTGACATTGGAGAGGTTACCACCACTCTGAGCCTCAGTTCTAGCATCTTGAGATGACAGATTCAAAGTAGAAGAGCTCACCTCTCAACTCTAAGGATCCTGCAGCTGGCCTCATGCCCACTTAGGCCACAGAGAGACCCAAGGTTCCAGGCCCTTGGTGGAGGGAGGCTCCTCTCCAGCCCGGTCTCCTCCTGTCCCACCTGCACTGGCTGGGCCAGGGAGGAGAGACTGGGGAGCTCAGAGTCCTGCAGCAGAAGACTCCCCAGTTCCCACTCTGCCCTGGCAGTCCCTGGCAGGCCCTGACCAGCTAAGTCTGCCAGTGCTCCCATTACCCAGACAACTTTAATATCTCCCAGGCTATAAATAGCCCCTAAGAATCTATTTAAGCTCTGAGCGCCTTGGCCCGGGTGCAAACTGCATACACGGTTCACGATTTTCTCTGCAAGACTTTACGTTGAGAGCAGTTTCTCTCCCACAGCCCTCATTTGTGCCCCCAGGCCCAGTTCTCGGGGATGGGGGGAGCCTGTGTGCCCAGCTGGGGGTCTGCTGGAGGGGCTCCAAGAGGACTCTCCGAGAGGACTGTGGCAGGGGGCAAGATGCAGAGCACCCCCCTTGAAATACCTGCTCCCCAGGATGCTGCACCTGGGCCTGTTTTCTGCCAGCACTGCCCATACAAGGACATGGCCAGTCAGCCCCAGGAGGCCACAGGTGGGAGGACTTTCTGCTTCCTCGAGAAGCGGAGACTCAGGGAGGGGCAGTGACTCATCCGGGGTCCCACAGTGTATTGGTGAGGGTGAACAAGAAAGAACCAGACCTTCCTTCCAGACGGGGCCAAGCCCAATGGTAAGAGAATGGACGCTGGTGCTGTCCTGTCGTGTCACCTTGTGTAACTGCCTAAACCACCCGTGTTACAGTTCCTCCATCTGTGAAATGGGAATAATAATATCCCTACTTGGATTGTTAAGGTTAAATTAGTTACCATATGTGGAGCAGACAGAGCAGTGCCTGGCAGTCAAAAAGCACTATAGCTATTATTACTGCAAAGAAATAGTATCTCTTATGAAAAGAATACACAAAATAACCCAAGGTTTCATCAGAAGGCAGCTCTGGAGGAGGGATCCAACTCTCACTAAAGGAACAAATTACTGGGCCCTTTGCAGGAGAGGAGGTTTACCTTCCTGCCACCTCCTCCAGGCTGGCTCCCTGGTTCCTCTCCTCATAGATGAACAGGCTGGAACTTTCACCACCACACACCCAGGGCATGGTGTTGGGGAACAGAATTGGGGCCACCATGTGTCAGGAGCTGTTCCAAACACTTTCTATTTGTTTGCTCCTCATAGCAAAACAGTCCAGATGGGGAAGCGGGCAGTTTCCAAAGTGTGCAGTGGGCCCTGCAGGCATGCGAGCCCAGCACGGCCGACTCTGTTTCCTCCTTGCTGTCCTGACCCTGACCTGGTTCGAACCCTTCAACAAGCACAAGAACTAACAGTTGAACTTTTTGTCAAATTCCCCACCTGCTGGCCTCTGATCTGAAGGTTAGGCCTGGTGTGCAGCTGATCACTGATTGGCTGTCTCTGGTAATTGCCATGTCAGACAAGCCAGTAATCAGCCTAGCTTCTCAGGTTCAAACTAACCGCTCTGCCCACCCCAGGGTGTCTCCAGCCTGGGTTTGGTAACTCCCAGGGTGTCGGTGCCAACGCTCCAGCATACATGCCCTCGCTCACTCACGCACCTCCCCAGTTTGGGCACCACTAGCAGGCCTTAGTCATGACATGGCATCGAGCCTACCGGGGCCGTCATTATGTCTCCACATGCTTAGGCAATCAGTGTAGCACCTGGGCGGCTCAGTGTGTAATCTGTGAGCGTGCCTATTTATACATCTGTGTAGATTTGGGTATAAATCTGTGACTCCTTCCTTGTCCTTCCCTCCTATGTGTTCCCAGCCCTGCCCTGCCCTGGTGGGGACTGGGTGCACACACAGCCACCACGGTCCTAGTGCATGGGGGTCCTGGCTGGTCGACCTGCCTGCCTCCGTCCTGGGCTGTGATCTCAGGGAGACAGGGATCTGATTTTATTTGCATCTGGAGTCTCCGAGCTTGGAACCCTGCTGGCACTCAAGGGCTCTCGATAAGTGTTGGTTAATTGAGATGAGCTGTCTGTGGGTACACGCTGGCTTCTACTGCGGTCAGAACCAGAAGTACTAGGCACTTTCCATATGCTTCATCTCTCACACCAGGTACTTCGACAAATGTTTGCTGAGCAGGGGCCAACTCCGAGCCAGCGCTGGTGGTGGGCCCCAGGGGCGCCCGGGATCCCGAGGCTTGTCTCTGTCCTCATTGGCAGCTCCCAAGGCAACGCCCACAGCCAAACGTGTGCCTGCCTCCTGATGTGTTTGTCTATCCACTTGTTTGCCGCGTCCCCGGGTCGACTGGAAGTTTCACGAGAACAGGGATCTCACCTGTTTGGGTTGCCCAGGGCTCTGGCTCAGAACCTGGCACTGAGGGGAGGTGCTCTATAAAGAGCATTGGACAGATGAGTGGGGGCCTGGTGGGCTGGGATTCCGTGGCTCCCACCACGCACAGGAGACAGAATGTTACCTAGTCTCAGGATGGGCCCTGCTACCGCACGGGTCCTAGGCCTACCTGGGGCTCTTCTGTTTTCTTGTCAAAAAGAAAAGCCAGGCCAGACCCCAGGCTATGGTTCCTCGTGGCTCCCCGCCTCCTCCCGCCCAAACTTCGCCGACCAGGCTGGGGGGCAGAAGTACAGCCAGAAAATGACCTGTTGGCCTCTAGTGTATCCACTCAGAGAGGCAAAACCCTCTGAGCTGAACGGATGTCAGAGGTGACCGAATCTATCGCCTTCAGGAGGAGATGGAAAGTCAGAGCGGGCGGAGCTGGCACTGGCAGGCCAGTGCTCCTCAGAGGGCTGGCTGCAGGGACTGTGTCTTATCTGCCCCCCCCTCCCCAAGCCCAGTGCCTGGCCCACGCCAGCCCTGAATTCACATCTGTTGATCGTTCCACACCCCTAGAAAAAGGACGAGATGAGACCCCAGGACTGTGAGCCAGATCAGAGGCCTCACATGCTTCATGTGGCTTAGCTCCTCCCCTGCCTGCTTCCTCGGCCTGGAGCGCACCTGAAGGCCCTATATGGA